TCAAACGAAATTTAATTTTATTGTTCCCTGAAATAAAATTTGATCAGTTTAAATGCATCTAAACATAAAAATAATGTTCAGCTCCATTAGACATTATAAAATACTCTTTAAATTTCGTTCATTTTAACAAAAAGTTAAAATTCAGACAGAACTTATGGGATGACCTGATAGATCTTTCTAAGTGTTTGCTCACCACTACAGTAACCAGGTATTAAACTTCATATCTTTTTGAGGCAAGGAACAGAATCCGAACAACGCTTTTATCGACTCGGCCATGTGTCCTTGAGAACATCATCGTATGAATTTTGGGGACCTATAAACTTAATGTCACGGACACAATTTTTACCAGAGCTCATACTGCAATTGTTGTTGTTATTATTGCTTTTCTCTATCACTCTGTATTACTGGTTTCCAGCAATCCACACACAGCAATTCTTGATTTGTCTCTGGTATATGAAAAGTGTCATGAATGTTTCCATATAAGGAAAAAGCCAATATTATTAAAGACCGCTACGTGCTACTGAAACATGGACGGCAATCGCTTCAGCCGTTTATTTCACAGAAACTGATCGGGTAAACGAAGAACTATGGTTAAACAGCCTCTTTTAGTAAACAGAAAAGGCATGACTCTCCAGCATGACAATGCAAGGTATTGTGGGGACCTACCTACAAATGGACTCTTCCACGCCTATAAAATATGGCTACCAACTCTGAGTAAAGGGAGTCACCAAGTGAGGGTCACCGAGTAGTAGACACCGTGTGAGTGAATGAGTGAGTCAGGACACCAGTGAGCGAATGTACTCTCCAGTCCACATTTACCTTTTGTACTACGTTTCCGAGAATATCCTATTTAACCTTATATCCGGTTCCGTATTACCTTTCTATGGTTCCAAACCATAACACAAGGGCATACTGAAATTTCTGGGACATTTAAAAAAAAGAGGGCTCGGAAAATTTAACACGCAAAGGACATATTGAAGGTAATATGAGAAACAGCTAGTAGCAAACAATGTGTTTGTATGGGTGGAGGACATTGAAAACAATGAGAGATTAAAGGAGTTAAATGTTGCTTAGAGTGCTAAGTGACACAACGCTGTGGAGTGTCATGATCGCCTATGTCCTCAATAGACACGGTACATACTCAGGGAATGTCCTGAATTCTGACCTTTCTCTTTTTGTCACTTGATTTCTTACTGTATCAACTTGAAGCAAAGATCAGAAGTGAAAGAGAAAAACTATCAGGGGTTTAATGTGTTGATACCGGCCACTTATACAATATCATAGAAGCTAATTCAGAGTGGTATTTTGAACGTTTATGACAGGTGAGCATCTTGTAAGCCAGAAAAGGCCTGTTAGCCATACCTCTTTTATTACAGACTAGCTTAAAAGCCGCATTTCGGACGGACTTTTAAGCTAGTTCCTGTGGTGGGAGGGGGGGGGATCAAATTGGAACTCCGGCCCAAAACTAAAGAAACATCTAGTCTAGCTTAGAAAAGAGCAATGATAATTTTGGAAAAAAGACCTATAGATTCCTCAATTCACTCAATGGAACTTCAAAACAGCACTTTAACTCTGATTCGGGGCTATAAGTTCAGTTCGGGCCAAAAGACCGATTTGGGCCAAAAGTGCGATTTGGGCCAAAAGTGCGATTTGGGCCAAAAGACCGATTTGGGCCAAAAGTGCGATTTGAAACGAAACTCCGATTTGGACCGATTTGGACCGAAATTCCAATTCAGGCTGAAAATTTGAGTTCTTCAAATCACAAACTCTGCGAAACTTCAAAACTTCACATCACGAAACTTCTTACTTTCACTCTTATTCATTGGCATTTTGAAAAAATAAAATTGATCAATTCACAAAGTTTTGAAGATATTTTAAACTGGATTTAAAACAAAAAAAGTTCACAAAGTGTTCATGTTGTTCTTCCTTGGTCTTAACCTGGACTATAACAAAGACAGAAGATAGTGGAAATCGTCACCAGCTCTAACTTGTGTCTCTTTTTTTTAATACATATGTCGTTTTCTCTCGCTGCATTTGATGCCTAGAATCAAAGTCTGGTAAAGACGTGTCGTCTCTTTTCATTGCGATAAGAAAGAGGTGATAAATCTAATCTTTCTTTACGGTATCAAGGATTTCACAAGTGAGCAGTAGGACATTTTAACTCTGGGATTTCCTATAACTGATTTAATATTGAGAAATGTCAGATGATGAAAAAAAAAAAAGACTGAAAAGAAATATCAAAGGGGGGAAACCATGTCTCCAATACAGAAACTCGTCGAGATAAACAGCTGAACACTAAGATTCTCGAACTCTGAACCTTGAGTGACGAATCCGAAACTGCGTTAAGAATCTAAAGAGACAGGAGTGTCTACAAAGGATGGGAGTTTAACATGAAAGCAAAAGAAACAAAAAAAAATAGAATTGCAACAAGTGAGATTTGACAGTCACTGGCGAGGCGATGTTTTGCATCGAAAAGTAACCTACACGAGACGTGGGGTGTATCTATTTGTTTGGTCGTTATGTGTTCAAAGGTCACACAGTATAGAAACTTTTTCGTATTTAACTTCCGACTGATTAACCCAGAAGAAAGTGTCCCCTGACGCATACTTGGTAGGGTCATTAATGATTGGGTTCAAAGTTACATCGATGTCGAAGAACCGATTCACGAGATATCAGGAACAGGTAGGACTGTTTTGATGGAGTTATGATCCAAAAAGACTTGGAGAATTGAACACTCACAAGACGTACTGAAGACAAGAGAAACAGATAAAAACAGCGAGTGACCTACCTAACATGTTTCTCTAAATGGATGGCTTATTTGGGACTAGTAAAGGAACAAAAGTTGCTTAGAGATAGAAATGACAGGAAGATGTGGGGGACCATGATCGTCTACATTTTGACAGAATAGTACACATAAAAATAACAGAAGAATTGCAATATGAGCACTGGTAAAAAATGGTTGCTGAGACGTTAGGTTTATAAGTCCCAAAGATCCATACACAGACTCAAAGTCACATGACCCAGTGGATAAAGACGTTGGTTAGGTCCAGTGACTAGACCCAAAGAGTTCAGGACCAGGCCACAGAAGTAGTGAACCAAGACTTGGAGATTTAAGAGGCATGGCACGTGGAATTAAATATGTTTGCTGAGACTAACTTTATGAATGGATCTGTGGATTATATCGTAAAATGCAATACGGCTCAATAACTTCAATAGGCCAAGTTTTAGATTGTTCTATTTCTTAAGCTGCACAAACTGTTAGAAGTGTTGAAAAAATATAAGATGACTGTCTAACCATCTCTATATTATTGAAATGTGGACTCGTCTATCAGCTACGAGTATAATGCTATCCAGATGTATGCTTGTCGCATTGAAATACTGTATTCTCAATGTTTGTTTGCGTGTGATTCAATCCTTTGTTCCCAAAAGTTTCCTTACTAGCAGGCACGAGCCTTATAAGAATTGTATAGTGCCAAAGTTGTTTCTTTTATTGTAAATCCGTTACCTATCTTTTTTTCTCTTTTTACCTATTTAACACTTTGTATTTTTAAAGAATGTGGATATAGAATTATGCCAGATATTCTATGGAAAGCATAGAAATTAGAACATGGATTTCAAGATGGCCATCTCCCCAACGAGGGTGATTGGCGCCACATAATCTTTTTGCTGTCAAGTTTTGTTCCTTTTCTCATTGCGCCATGATAAGCTAAATTTAACTTATTAACACTCACTGTCCCACTTTTTAGAAAACTATATTTAATATCGGACTTTTTTTAAAAAAATAGCAAGACATTTTCGTTAGAAGCGACGGAAATACTGCTGAACTACAATGTAATATTTATCCTGTTATTTGACAGTGGATGCTGGAATATTTCCTCATAGATGAAGACTTGAGGCAATAGAAAGATACTGATGCTGGTTTGGTTTGGTTTGGTTTACGGCATATCAACCTGAATGGGTTATTTAATGCCGACAAGATTTTTATTGCTCGTTATATGTTTTCTTCAAAAATGCATTACCGGTAATATTTTTTTCTTCAATAATGTATTGTTGGTAACCTTTTTTCATCAAAAATATATTGCTGGTAATATTTTTTCATCAAAAATATATTGCTGGTAATATTTTTCATCAAAAATATATTGCTGGTAATATTTTTTCATCAAAAATATATTGCTGGTAATATTTTTTCTTCAAAAATGTATTGGTGGTAACATTTTTTCATCAAAAATATATTGCTGGTAATATTTTTTTCTTCAAAATTGTATTGGTGGTAACATTTTTTCTTCAAAATTCATTGGTGGTAATATTTTTTTTTCTTAAAAAATGCATTGCTGGCAATATATTTCCTATCAAAATTGTATTGCTGTAATATTTTTCCTTCAAAAATGTATTGCTAGTAATGTTTTTTATTTATTTATTTTATTTTTTCAAAAATTATTTTCTCATAGATGAAGACTTGAAGCAATAGAAAGATACTGATGCTGGTTTGGTTTGGCTTCGTTTGGTTTGTTTTACGGCATATCAACCTGAATGGATTATTTAATGCCGACAAGATTTTTATTGCTGATAATATTTTTTCTTCAAAAATGCATTGCCGGTAATATTTTTTTCTTTAAAAATGTAATGTTGGTAACATTTTTTCTTCAAAAATGTATTGTTGGTAACATTTTTTTCTTCAAAAATATATTGCTGGTAATATTTTTTTTTCATAAATGTATTGCTAGTAATTTTTTTTATTTATTTATTTTTTTTCAAAAATGTATTGCTGGTAATATTTTGTTTTTCCAAAAATGTATTCCTGGTAATAAAACCAATTGTTATTCTTTCATAGTCAACTCCCAGTTTAAGGGTTAACTATTTGCCCATAGTTTGGACCCTAAAAGGTGCTACCACTCCGGGTCAGGGTGAACTTGGGAACACCAGCAATTAAGAGGTGGTTCCACGCTCCTCAAAACCTCCTGATCAGAGGCGTTGCTGTCGGATGTTGTTTATCATCTTACCCAGGACGCGGATGTAGTCTATCGTCATCACCTGAACGGGCTGATTCTGTGTACGATGAACATAACACTAGGGAAAATTAAGACAAAAAGATGCTTCAACTTTGAAATAGAAAGAGTTGAAATTTCTGAGACGCATAATATGGAAAGAGGTGAGAAAGAATTTGTGACTCACTGGATATATGGAAGGCAAGATTGACACCTACTGATTGTTTGATTTTTTTTTTTACGGTTCATCAACTTTTGTGGTTTATTTAAAACCGAAACATTGTAAGAATACTTCTTTTTGCGAGCTTACGGTCATAAACACCGGTTTTCGTACGTCCACCGATATTAAGCAACATCCAGCTTTGCCAGGACCTAGACGGATGACCACTTGGGAATGCCGGTTTCTGTAAGCTTGGATGCGCGGGTGGTGCAATGGATAACGGCTCGGAATTGGAAATCGGGGAGCTGAGTTCAAATTCCAGTCGGTTTCGTTATATTCCATCACGCGCAAATACCCTTGAGAAAGGCATTAATTCATCTTTTCCCCACTGCTATGGATTAAATGGGAGGACATGTATTAGTAAATAATTATTATCTCCAAAATATATTCTTACAATTTAAAAATATTTGCTGATTTTAAATAACCTGTAAAAGGTAGATAAGCTGTAAAATACAAAGTTTTGTGATGTCAACGAACACTCGTTGCCACTTTTGTGATGTCAACGAATACTCGTTGTCACTTTCGTTATGCTCGTTGTAGTAGAGACTTTATAATCGCAGATACAACTGTAGTAACGCCGTTGAACAATACTGGTATCAGACGCCTTCGAATAGCACTCGTACTAATACTGCTTACTCGATAATACTCGCTCGAATAGTAATCACCGAAATGTGATCCGAAATAGTAATCCGTGTAGTGATCAGTATAGAGAAATAGTATACTGAATAGTATAGAATAGCGCTCCGTATATTAATAGAGGATGGAGTAGAAATAATGAGATATTCACTAACCGCCCCACGCGGTCGGATGTGACACAAAGCCTAGTTTATTATCCAAGCTCGTAGGCTCAGCCCAAAATTCCCCTGTAGACCCTGTAAAAAACGGGATTGGATAGCCGTCTTTCAAGACGAGACACTGCCCTTCGACATGGCCTCGTCTGGGGATCCTCTCTACTGGGAGGCAGAGATCGGGATAGTGATCAGTATAGAGAAATAGTATAGTAAATAGAGTAGAGAATAGCGGTCCTTATAGTAATAGAGGGTAGTGTAGAAATAATGATCCAAATAGTAATAGAGGATAGAATAGAAATAGCGAAATATTTACTAACTGCCCCCACGCGGTCGGATGTGGCACAAGGCCGAGTTTATTGTGGGGTATCCGAGGCCGTAGACTCAGCCAAAAATTCCCCGTAGACCCCTTAAAAACGTGGTCGGGTAGCTGTCTTCGACATAGCCTCGTCTGGATCATCTCTGCTCGGTTGCAGTGATCCGGACCAGCATATTAAAGGTAATCCGGAGAGTGATCTGGAATAGGAATAGTGATCGTTAGTCGTCAGCTACTTCCTACATATATGCGTTTCCTCTATGTTCATGTAGTCTACTTAGTTCAATAATGGGATCGCCTGTGTTTGCTCACTGGCGATCTATGTTCAAACTTAAGTGCCGGCAGCGACACTTTATTCTATATAACACAAAGCAAGCAACCAGATTCGTTTTCAGAGTGAATATTGCATTAAAAGTGATTTTGAGAATTTCAATCATTCTTCAAGATACACGTCCTGCTATTTAATCCATAGCTGGAGGGAATTTACACGTAAATGAATGCAACGAACCCGACTGAAATTCGAACTCAGATCACCGATTTCTTATTCCCAGCCGTTATGCATTAAACTCTCGCAAAAATGAAAGAGACATAAAAACGCCATGTAATCTACCTAACATAAAGTTAAATGAATAGTGATTTTCCAAGCGTAGCTCAGATGTGGCACAAGGCCGAAAGTAAGGGGCACCCAGTGAGGATCGAACTCACTACTCATTCGTAATTGTTCTAGCGAGAAAAGCTTGCTAACCATTACACCACCTCCAGGTGCCCTAGTTATTTTCTAAGCGTAGCTTAGATGTGGCACAAGGCCGAAAGTATGGGACACCCAGTGAGGATCAAACTGACTTTTCAGTCGTAACTGATCTAGCGAGACGAGCTTACTAACCATTACACCACGCCGAGGTGCCCAATAAAGTTAAATGAATACCAGAACAGGCTGTAGGAAGGATATCAAAAAGATATACATTAAGGAGGAATAGGAAGTTGTGAAGAGCCATGACCACCCACGTTCTGTTATTCTTCTTTTTATATCAGAATTTACGGCGGCCACTAATGAGTTAATACGTGGTGATTCAAACAGTAGGCAATTGCTATGCATAAATATATCTTACCGAATACGGAAAACAGACCCCCTGCCACTCGGCTTTTCTGCGTACCTTTATTTTCTCTCTGTCTCTTGGCCATTCTTCGAGCCGGGTGAATGGGTCGCTAGCATTCCATACCGACAAATACAAATGCTTGCTTCGATATCTCACAGGTAACAACAGGAAGTCGAAGTATGACGTTTCGCTCCATCTTAAAGGTCCTCGGGGGCAACATCTTGGTAAGAAGGGCGCCTGACATATCAACAAACAGTCTGCTTCTCGGTTCACTAGTGGAGTCAGCATCGAATAGGTTTCGGCAAACAAGGAATATTTTCTTGGATACTTGCCAATGACGAGAATGAGTAGAGTCTGGGGAAAACATTGGTTTTTACGTAAAGGATTCGGAATATTTATAAAGTTTATATCTTTCTCTTCAGTCTACTCCCACGTTATTTTTGGTAATCCACTTCGAAAACTATACAGTTGTTTATTAATGTTAGCTTAGTTTGGCATAAGGACGCAGTAGCAGAGAATCCAGTAACGATCGAAATGAAATGGGTGTTAGAAAACACTTAGTGACGTTCTATAAGATAGTATACAAAGAAAAGTAAGCCATTAATTTTACGCTCTATTTCTTTCTTATTTTATTTTATTTATTTATTTATTTACACACTGGATATCATAAGGACAAGACGTGTATCACTTCCGCTCCGCGTATCTTCTTAGACCCCAGCGAACCGCGTGTCGCACTATACAAAACAAAATATGGTATGCTTTGATTTATTTAACGGCATATCAACTCTTTATGGGTCATTTAATGCCGGCATTTAAATAGCAATATTAATGAGACACCTCTTGTTCTTAAGTTAACCAGTTTATTAAAAAAAAATTCATCAGTAGATTTTCACAGTAAAAAATAAATTTTTAGCAATAGTTTTTAATAGTCAAAAGAAAAATTACCGAAGCACCCAAGAAAATTAAATTTCGGCATTAAATGACCCAAAAAGAAGTGATATGCAGTTAAACAAACCAAACCTTCCAACAGCTACTAACTTCGACATCACTCTACGTAGACAAAAGTCTTCAAAAGTTGTACATACGTGTATATTTGCCTGTGTGGTCATGTTAATGGTGAGCTTAACCGTTTACATACAGTGTTGACTTCAAAGTTCACTTATATATATATATATATATATATATATATATATATATATATCATACTTATTATAAAACCCAGGTTTGTGTGTGTGCGTGTGTGTATGTGTGTCTGTACGTTTATATATTGGATCGGATTTCCTACATTTTTCAACTGATTTCAACAAAACTTCACAGGACTACGTAAAGTTACCTTGCGGTGGTTCTGACAGTGCCAAAAATTGGAAAAACACAATTGTTTTTGCACGAAATCAATTTGAAAACCCAATTAAGAGGCATCGCTTTCGCCAGAATGAAAGGGGAACAACTCATATCGAGTTATACTTATTATAAAACCCAGGTTGTGTGTGTGTGTGTGTGTGTTCGTTTATATATGGGATCGGATTTCCTACATTTTTCAACCGATTTGAACAAAACTTCACATTTTTTGGCAGGTAGTGTTTCTTATTGTCTTGCACACTTTTTTCTTTATTTTTACATTCAGAATGCTTTAAAAATTCCATTTACAAGACAATTGTTTATAATAAAATTCTATTCAATCGGTAGACTCATAACGATTGAAAACAATGCTTTTGTTCGAGTTTGGGTTTGACCAATTCGTAAAAAAAAAACTAATTAAGACATACGTGTCCGTCAACCTTAAACAATAATCTTTGTCAATTTTATTTTTCAGTCTTTATGATGGTCGATACTTGATCTATCTCTTACTGTTACATCCCCGGGCAACGCCGGGCTCTACTATTAATATATATATATATATATATATATATATATATATATATATATATATTAAGACATTTTCTATGCTTAACATTCTTTTTATAGGTACAAATATTTAAGTAAATGCTCTGTTTATAATAACAGTATTAAATAACATTTACCGGCCTGAATGTCCGAGAAATTTTCATAGAAAATATGCGTCCTCCGATTTCACTACAAATGATCGATCGGTTAGCAAGGTCGAATTTATATACACACACACACACACACACACACACACACATATATATATATATATATATATATATATATATATATATATATATATATATTATCATCAACAGACTGTTTCGCTGTATCCCAGCTCTTCAGTGTGGCTTGATCGATTTGGTATCAGTCAGAGATTCTACTCCTAGGATATCGTCTGCATATATATATATATATATATATATATATATATATATATATATATATATATATATATGAATAAATGTATGTATGGTCTAATATTTAGGTTACAGTCTTATGTCTAGGAAACTGGATTTGACATTGTGGTACAGTTTATCAAAGCGAAAGTGAAGAAGCATTGCGAATTTTTGTGTATATTAGTTGGTCAAACGTTATATTTTCAAGTTTAACCGAATTCAGTATCTGAGATTCATTAGGGAACAGAAACGAATTGTTAAATGTGAAAGCGACAGTCGTACCCGTGCCTCGAACACTTCCGGGATATTTTGCAAATAAACTATCTGGATATTACTAAAGGATTACTGAAAAAAAAATTCTACACCTGACTACCAACTGAGCTTTTAAAGGGCCACACGAAACACTAAACTGAATAATGGTTTCCTTATTCCGACAGATTTGTTTATATCTATCTATCTATCTATCTATCTATCTATCTATCTATCTCTTTTCTCTCTCTCTCTCTCTATATATATATATATATATATATATATATATATATATATATATTTTTTATATATATATTATAATTTTTTATTATAATAAATCACAATAAAAATATTTTACATCGCTACACAAAAACTTTCATGTTTCGGTACTAAGATGGTACTTTTCAGGGTGATGGTAGATAACTTGTGATGAAAATGATTTAGTAGGTAAATTGAAAAAACAATTTTAAAAACAATTCTTTACCTCTTTTTGTAAGTTAAAATGTGCTGCATAAGCTCAGGATTAAAATATACTTATGGGTATGTCTAGATTATTATATATATATATATATATATATATATATATATATATATATATATATATATATATAAACTATATTTCTGCATATATATATATATATATATATATATATATATATATATATATGCAGAAATATAGTTTTAAAGTGTGCTATATTTATGAGATAAAGTGCTCAATATCAGAGATAGAGCGTGTATAAATATAAATATAAAAGTGGACATTGACGTTTTATGCTGGACGCAATCGTCGGCCTGACCCCTCGGAGTGTTGACTTCAATGTTTACTTTTATATATATATATATATATATATATGTGTGTGTGTGTGTGTGTGTGTGGTGAAAAAGAGACAAGAGGAAACCTATCTTAGCCGACGCGTTTTCGTCCTCTGAGGGACTTTATCAAGGCAAATGTAAAGATTTTATTTTGTGTAAAGTATTTATATACAAGAGTAGAAATTTATTGGTTTTTCAAAAGTTTTGTTATAGAGAGAATTTCACTCCAACTTACATTCATTTATTAAGCATTGAACTATATTCACCTCACGTCCATGATTTGCCTGACTTTTCCGCTAACCTGATGAATATTCATGAGCATTCCTGTACGAAGGAGAGAATAAGGAGAAAAGAAAAGGAACAATATGAGAAATACCCACCATATTTGGCCGCAAAGTCACACTCGCACGCATAGACTCACGATCGTGCATAGACACAAACATACATATACACGCACACAGAAAATCAACGTTACAATAATAAGCCCATCCTAACTAGCGCATGAATTAATTACATCAGACTTAGTAAAGAGATAATGAAAAATGAGCAAAATGGCAGTCAATCACTGAAAACTCTTGACGAGAGGACTGAACAATTACGGAATATTTTGTCTACAAAACTCCAGAGTCTCGGCACTAAATTTAAAATCAATCAGCTAATGGACAAATTGTATTTGTATTAAAACATCCATATATATATATATATATATATATATATATATATATATATATATCCAAGTATAGGATTGGTGTATACGGAATAAATTTCAATAACCAAAAAATACTATTCTTAAAAGAGTGCTCAATACAGAGTAGAGCAAATATAATTATTTATTAAAAAAAAATATGTCATAAAATCACTACAAAAATAGCCATTTTGTTTCAACACTTCTAGTGTTTTATCAAGTGATGGTGTTGAATTTCAATAACATCTCTTGATAAGACACCAGAAGATTTCCACGTATCTCAACGTATCTCCACGTATCTCAACGTATCTCAACCGCAGGTATTCTCTCTGTCAGTATAAGTATAATTTGGACGAGTCCATCTTATGTAAAAAGGGGAGAGCTCCACAACAGTTACGAACAATTCTGTTTGTAAGCAGACAGCTCGTGAAACGTGACTTCCTTTTTTTCTATTTGTTTGAAAAAAAAAGAAGAAAAATATTTTAAGAGGGGACGTATAAAGTTAAAGAAAAGATAGAAAATGCAAAAGGGTGACAGAGTGCAAACAATAGTGTTTGTTGTTCGCAGTTGGCTTAAGGATTGTTGAGGTATTAAGGTGATGGCTCGTCCCGAAAAATTTAAATCGACAGCAAAGGGTTTAGGCACATAACTTCCAAGCTTCCTAAAAGTGAGGGGTGAGGAAGGAAAGATGGTAATAGGAGAGAGTAAGACGATGAAGAAGGAAGGAGGGATAAGTTTAGACGATGGCTGTAGTAGTAATTGGAAACGCTTTTGGTAACTTTAAAACAGAGCCAGAGCTGGATTAGGCATATTTAGGCTGGAGTTATTGTCACACGTTTTGTAATCAATGAACGTATTACGTAAATGAATAAATTAAGATGTGGAGATTTTTTTCGTCATATGTTGAATACATAAGATATTTGGGATTTTTTTTTTCAAGAATAAGTTTTTAGTTCAGAATTTAAGATATAAGTAGAAAGGTATATAAAAGTATGCGGTGTTGATATAATTTTGACCTATTGTCTGGCTGTATAACTTGTAGAATAAGTATGGATGCAAACCAATTTATCTGATACTATTACTAGTATTATATATGTAAAAAAAATTTTAAGAATCATAATCTAAAATAGATTAGTAGAAAGCTATATAAGAGGGTAGAAAGTATATCAAAGGAGGTAACTTATAATTTAAACGCTTAGAGTTATGGATTTGAAAAATTGTTAGATCTTTAATATGCCTACAAAAAACGGTATTTCAAATCTTTGATTTAATAAGTGGCTGTTCTTCAAAAGCTTAATAATACATATTTTTCCGGTAAACATAAAAAAGCAAGAT